GCATGGGTAGGTAGCGAATGCTTTGATCGTTGCTGTCAATAGTTTAGATGCGAACATGTAATCGACCGTCTCAGCGCATGGACACACGGACAATCTTACCCTAACCACCACCACCACCACCACCACCAAAGGTACACGCTAACTAATTAGCTCGCGTAGCTCGCACCGCTCGAACCCCTCTCTCCAGGCATCGTGTGAGGCGATTTGGCGGCCATTCCTGAAGACCTGGGGAAGCTGAATGAAGAGGTGCTTGCTCGTGAACGATCGAACCGCTCTCTCCGCATCGTGAGGCGATTTGGCGGCCATTCCTGAAGACCTGGGGAAGCTGAATGAAGAGGTGCTTGCTCGTGAACGACGATGCTGGCCGAGAAACCAAAAATCGGCTGCACTTGTGTGTGACTGAAGAGAGGGCGCAGACACCAAAGGGAGGTGGCAATGCGGACGACGCAGTATCGCCCCCTCCCCCTTGAATGGGGGAGGGGGCTGCAAAAGGTCAGTATCTATGAGTCAGTAGTCACAGGCAGAATAGAGTGGGTCGACCACAGACTGATTGAAGATGATGATGGCCGTCATGTAGGATTCCGGCACACAGATCTACTCGTCTGAGCGCTCCTGTGTTTGCCTGGCAGGTGTGTTGATGTTTCGTTTGGTCGCATTGCCGCCTTCTTTCACCGTGCTGATGACCGCGACGCAGTATTTCAGCTTATACACATATGCTCCCACATGTGTGCTCCGGTATGCGGGTCTCCCCGTTTTCATGTGTGTGCGCCATTGATCCGTGCATTCATAGCATCTGAACACAAAGCTTTTGTCGTGCCCATGCTGCGCGTGTCCTTGCGTGTTTTATCGTTAATTGATACGTCGACGGATGGGAATGCAGTGAGTGTCTATACAGCGTACAGGGCATGTTGAGCGGGCCAGCTAAATATGGGTCAGAAGGATAGTACCGATGGTGTAGAATTCATACTGTGTCTTTCTTGGCCGTTCCTCCCTCTATCCCAGTCTGTCTCCCTTCATGCTTCTCTTCACGCCTCCTTTCCAATCGCCTTTTCCTACCTGGCACGTCCTGTGCCTGCCTTCGTTTTTTTGGTGTCGCGCACGTCCCAAGTGAGGTCTTTTTTGCAGACCTATCCCTCTTACGATTAATGATGGGGTGGAGGGGGAAGATTGAGACAAACAGAAGCTCCCGTGTGTGAAAAAAATGAGAAACCCCATGCGTTTCTCCTCGATGGGCTCGCCTCCTGGCTGATCGCGCGCAGCAGAACCACAACTGCAACGGTATTAGTCTCGCGACATGCGGTGATACACAAGACAGAAACAGAGAGAGCTGACTATCAAAAGAAAGGAGCACATTGCATCAGAAGTTCAACGCAGGAAGGAAAACGCCTCGCATTGACCTGCACATCACACCCCACATACACACCTGACTTATCTTCTTCAGGCGAACATCAGACGAGCAACCTCGAGCAACCTCACAAAAAAAAGGAAAACGACTGCCACGGTGCCGAACGAGTCAGTGTTAGGGTGTCCCCGTTACACAGGCTGAGTCGCATGACTGCATGCACCCTTTTCCCGTCGCCATAGCTCATCCCGCTCTCCCACTGCCCTCCTCCTCTCTCCCATTCCTCTCCGAAATCCCCTTCACCTCCGGAGAGATGCCTGCTGCATGGCCCTCCCTCTCCACCAACGTGCGTGCGCCACCTATGGCGCTGCTGGCCACGCCCCGCCCACTGTCTGAACACATACACACACGAGAGAGGAAGATGCGCTGCACATAGTGACGGCTAAGCCGTGCGCGTGCCCTCTTACCATTCGGTGTTTGTGTGCCTGAACCACTCAGAGGCCCCGATGGCTCCCAGGAGCCGACGGCCGGCAAAACTGAGTGCGCCCACACAGAAGGCAAGAACCCGACACGAAAGGTGTCGGTGAGCCATTCTCTATACAAAGCATCCATGCCCGAGGGCGTATGCACACGAGATCTATCTGATCTGACGGCGCAGCCGTGCGCATTGGGCAGATCTCTATCTGTTTGTGCATGGATGCGGACAGTGAGTGGTCGGTCACCATCCCCGTGATGCGTACCTATGGGCGCTGCGGTGGTTTCGCTGCTGCCTCCACTCCTGCCATCTTTGGGCCCCTCGTCGCCCATGCACAGGCTGGAGGGGCGAGGCTGTGTCGGTAGCTGAGGATGCATATCAGTAGGCTAGAATTCAGTCAGCTGAAGATGTATAATAGCTCGGCTAGGCAGGATCTGTTGTAAGATGGGCGTCAAGACGAGCTCTGACGACGCCTGGCCGCCGAGCGTCTCGCCCGGCCAAGTTTCGCCCCCCAGCCGCCCATTTGCGCATGGCTAGCATTGCATGCGTCCAGATCGCTTCTTTTGTCTCATTGTCTCATCTTGCATCGTCTTCGTGGTTTTGGAGTGCTTTCGACGTTTTCATCGTTGTGGAAAGACCATCTCCCTTCGATTTAACGTTACCGTACGGCATTGACGTTTTCCGCCTTCCCCCCACATGGCTTCGAGCCTGCCACTCTGAGCCCTGCCGGGCAGCAAGACGTCCACCCATTGCCGCAGGTAAGTTGCACGACAGCACCGCATGAAGGCAGGCGGGCAAGGCCCCTCGGCACGCATCCCGCGAAGGACTGGGGCTCTGTGTACTACGCCGGTGAAGGGTCGCTACTGCAGGGCGCCTGTGACAGTCTGGGGGTACGCATCCGCGCAGTGAAGGGGGCTCTCCCTGTCGAGATGGCTGAGTCCGCCGGGGTAGTTCCCCAGCTGGATTGCCCTGCTCGTCGTGCATCGCACCTTGGGCTCCCATCCATCCTCCCAGACCCAAGATCTATGTGTTTTCTGTCCATGATCTTCGTGTCTCCCCCTTCCTTGATGCAACCGACTCATGTGAGGCATGATTCTTCCCCTGTCGGCCCTGCTCTGCACCCTTCTCGGTGCTGCATGCAGGGAGACACAACTTCACCCAGCTGTGATGTGGGGATTCATGTGTTGCTGGCTGCATTCAGAGCTGCAGGGCTTCGCCCAGCGCCTGTCTGCAGTTCGGCAGGTGATCTGCCCATCTGATGATGCCTCTCATGGTCGATTGCGGGGGCATGTTCGTACAAAGGTGGGGCTGGATGGACACGACTGACTGACCGATCAACTCCGCCCTCGCTGGCGAGTTGTGTCCTGTCCATCCACCCTGGTGCATGTTCCACGCTTGATGGACGATGGATGAGCCTGGGTGCATATGTGTGTGGACATTGGATGGTGCGGCCCGCCCACGATGGCGTTGAGCGCCCATCAACGAGCGTTTCATATGCGCTGCAAATCTCGAGGCACACACGGCACACATTCACGGATGATCCCATGACACCACTAGACACATGGCTGTATTGTTGCTGCCTGCCCCTTTGGCGCACACACACGGGTCCCCCATCCAGAGGTCTGAGGTCTTGAGTCTGTCTGACTCCCTCTGCGAGGACGCGCTGGCCGGCTTGACGGGATCACAGGCCCCCAGACGCCCCCTCCTCACAGATTTGGTGCATCTGCCGTGAAGCACAATCCTTTGTCGTCTTTGTGTTGTCTGTGTTGCCTCTTGTGTTACAGGTGAGTGGCTGTGGGTGAATGCGAAGGAGCTCTCGAGCTCGGCTTCGACAGCGAGCACGTTCTCAGCCTCGTGACCCTCAAGGACGCTTCCGCCCTTCGGGACGCGCTCGTCCTCGTGGTTCACGAGTTGCACATCTGGTTGGGAGGTTTGAGCACTTTGACATCCACACACCGGCTGTCTCTCGCTCATCCTCTGAGCCCCCACCGCACATCTCGCCCATCACTGAAGAGCTCGGCGAAGGAGACGCTGCACAGCGGACGCCACGCCCGCCTTCGGTGAGGGAGGGGAGATCACCATCTCTAGGTCCTTCTCCTGCCCCTATCTCTGTTCGCTTCTGGCGGACACTTGCCTGTCGGGCTGAGTTCGGTGTGGCTACTCCAGTTGTGGCTGAGGACGCTGCATCGCAGACCTCTACCATGTACGGGTTTGGCGATAGAGTTGATGATGCCAGCCCTCACAACGCTGCTCCTGAGGAGCGCGGTGGGGATGACTGGCGTTACCGCGAGCAGCTGCGCGAAGCGCGAGCGCCGCAGAGAGAGACGTGAGGAGGAACGGGACCATCGCGCGCGCCAGAATGAGCTGCAGCGCGTTGCCCGTGAGCGCCGCGACAGCCTGAAAGCGCAGCTTGGCTCTCTGGACGATGAAGCCACGCGCCTTTTGGTGACCAAATGGCTGCTGCGATTCATCGATCGGTCCGCAGCCATCCCAGGCATCACGAGCCAAGACAAGTTCATGGTTCTGGGTGAGTGCCTTAAGGGCAAGCATGTGGTTGCCTACGACCAGTATGTGAGGAGTGCTGAGAATATTCCTCAGGAGGGCGACCCTGTGGATGAGGCTGAGGCCTGGTACGAGAGTGCTGTCCGCAACATCCTCAAGGATGTCCGTGGCCGCAGCGGTGTCAACGAGACATACGCGCGCCACGTTCGCACTGAGCGACTCGGCTGTCCCACCTATATGAGAGACAAGGTTGACCTGCGCGAGAAGCTGGCGGCATTTGATGACGACCTCGAGGTCGCTCAGATGCATGGCGGCGAGTTGGGTGAGACAGAGAAGGTGGACAAGTTGCTGAACCTCTTCCCTGAGGAGGCCAAGCAGTTTGTCACTCAGACTCTACTCCAGCGCTACCGGCAGGGGCAGACCGTGGCTGAGATGATGGGCTTGGAGCCCGAACATGTCGCCATGGAGAGGTTCTACACTCTAGCTGCTGCCAAGAAGTGCCTGGGGGATTTGGAGTACTCACTCAATGTGGTGCCTGAGGAGGAGGACCCCAAGGCTGCCCGCAAGGGCGCCACCATTACCACTGATGACCTAGCCGACGGTTTGGCGAAGAAGCTGTCGGTGCAGCTGCTGGACACCGCCAGAATCTCGTCTGTGCGCGCTGACGAACAGCAGCCAGGGACGAGAGGGCGGCCCCGGGCGCCTCGATCCCTCGATGAGGCGTTCGAGCGGCAGCGCAAGGGAGACGCCGACACCGGCAAGAAGAAGCGAGAGAAGAAAGGTCGTGATGGCTCAGATGAGGGAGACAGCGCCGAGGAGCTCAAGGAGCGACTGGCTCGTCTCGAGGAGGCGCTAACAAAGTTGGCGGCCACGCTAGCGCAGGCTGTCTCCTCTCGCTCAGACTGTCGGCCCGCCCGCCATGCAGTGACTGAGGATGAGAGAGCCAGCCAAGCGGCTGAGCCAGAGCTGTGGGAGGAGGGAGTCGGCGTAATGATCTCGTCCATGACGGCAGAGGGTGTCCCGCCAGCCAAAGCTGCGCAACTCGCGCTGAGGTTCAATGGTGGCTACAACCGCTCTCATGGTGGCCAGCAGGGCCGCAGAGATGCGGATGGCAAGATATTCTGCTATGGCTGCCAGCAGTGGACTGACCACATCAGAGCCAACTGCCCCAACCCCATAATGACTAAGTCTGGTGTGCGCATGGAGCGCCGATGCATCAACTGTGGGAAGGAGAGTGTGTGGTTTGCCCAGTGTGACTCTGAGTTTTGCAAGGCCTGCAAGGCCGGTAAGATCCCTCTGCGTTTTGGAGGCGCTGCTGGTCCGACCACGACCACACCACCATCCCACGATACAGCTGCTCCAAGCGCGGCCGCCCCACCCAAGCCTGCCTCGCAGGGAAACTGCTGAGGCCAGATGGAGATGTGGGACGCGTCTCCGTCATGGCCGCCAGTCGTGCCCGTCATATACCTGCTGATGATCGTAGCGATGTCTCAGACACCTGTTCCTCCCCGGCTGGCGAATTTGATTCGGCGGAGGACTGGTGGGAGAGGCTACGCTGGATGAGGCAGCTTGATCGATTCTCTAAGGGAGAGGAGACTGACGTGGCTATGGCTAGTCGAAGGGTTTGCTCCATGTCTCTGCCGCCAAGCATAGCAGCGCGGGCGCGGAGGTCTGGCATTTTCAGACACCGCATTCATGCGCCGAGCCTGGAAGGCAAGCATTTGGTAGCTACTCATCTGGAGAGAGACGAGGTGCGGCACAGAGAGGATCATGCCCTCTGGTTCTGCCTGCACCCGCCTCATGTCCCTCGTTATGGTCTCTATCAGATGCCGGACAGACAGCTGCATAGGCGTCTGTTTGGGCACACTCTTGGTGTTAATCGCCGTCTTGAAGCCATGCGCGAATTCAGAGACGTGCGCGAGCAGCCGGATGACAGAGACATGTTCGATTGGCGCATTGACGTCCGTCCCGCGACCCATCGAGCTGATGGCTACTGCTCCGATGCACGCGACGGTGCCCTCTGGGACGAGGAGGTTGGTTCTGTCTCACCAAGCAGCGGAGACGAGATACAAAGCCAAGTGGACGCAGCAAGCCCTTGCCCCTCTCGGCTGACTCGGCGCCAGCGCCAGAGGCTGAGGGACAAGCGAGCAAAAGCTGCGCGCCACATGCGCAAGAGACATGACCTGGGGGTAGAGGAGATGGCAAGAGAGCTTGGCGACACCCGTGAGCTCACTAGCCTGACCTGCCACCGTACTGATCATGGCGAGCTCTCGACGCAATTTCCCGTTTGGGCTGGTGAGACGCCAACTGACGGACCATGGCCCTGTCAAACGGCGCAACCGAGACAGAGAGCAAAGAAGATCCCCTTTGGATATCAGCCCGACTATCGTCGAGGCAAGATGGACAAGGGAACGATCACGCGAGTGAGGGGCCTGACGAAGAAGGTCATGCTCTCCAGTCTGAGGATTGTCAACTGCGATGAGCCTGCAGAGGCCAGGAAGTTGAAACTTTCCTTCTGGAGCCTCGCACTCTGGACTTACTCCTTCTTTATATCCATCATCATGAGGATCGCTGAAGGGCTTGGCGGAGACACCAAGTGGCAGAATACGCATCAGCCAAAGGCTGGGCGAGACACTGGTGTTGCCCGTATGCCGATTGACGCCGGGCCCGAATAACAAGCCAGAGACCCATCAGCAGCACGTGCAGGTGGACCTGATAGTGCATGCCCGCTGCGCTGCATCGAGAGTGGTTCGCGCTCACGCACAGCCCCGCCAGGGTGTGAAGACTCTCACGCCCTCAGGGAGGGTGCTGCCTGGCAGCTGGTCCTCCACCTCGAGAGTGTCAGCATTTGGAAGGATGGTCATTGGTGGGTTGGGCCATCCAGTTGGCGGGGCGGAGAAAGGAGTTTTTTGTCGCGCAGACATGCCGCTGCCTATACATATATGTCATCATGGTTGGTCCCATTGTATCCACGCTTCGTTATGTTGGCGATTGGTGCGATGTTGGCCATGGCTCAGTGCAGTGGGCCGAGCTATTTGCTACCGGTTACACGGAGCTCGTAGCTCGCAGCCTTCGCATGACCATGGCGGACAGCTCACCATCGCCCTGGGCATCGTGCACCGTGACACAGGTACAT